CCTTTTTAGAGAGAGACAAAAAATAAACCCGGGCGACTGGCGGCGACTTTCAGTAGAGGGAAAGAAAGGAAGGAAAAGCGATGGAATAATAAAAAATGAAACAAAGATTTCGTTTTCTGCTACTGCTGCTAAAGCCTGCTGCCGCTACTACCATAAAAATTTAAACTTCAGAAAACTTTCTTTTTTTTTTTTGTTTTTTTTGGGTCAAAAAAGCCAAAGTCATCGAAACTAATGGCGGAGAACGATGGATCATCATCGCGAGCTCCGACGCGGCCTACCATAAGTTTACCGCCGAGGACGGCAATGGAGAGTCTTTTTACGGGCGGGCCGGGTGCCAGCCCTGGCCCGATGACGTTAGTTTCGAGTTTTTTCTCCGACAACGATCCGGACTCCGAGTGCCGCTCCTTCTCGCAGCTTCTCGCCGGTGCCATGGGGTCGCCGGTGGCTGTAACGGCTTTAAGGCAGAACTTCCAGCAGCCGGGAAATTCTAGCTCTAGAGAGAAAGTGAGCAGCAGCGGTGCAGGTGATGCGGACTTTAGGTTTAAGCAGAGCCGGCCTACTGGTTTGGTGGTGACGCAGCCGGCGATGTTTACTGTTCCGCCGGGATTGAGTCCGGCTAGCTTGCTCGACTCGCCAGGGTTCTTTTCGTCTGGTCAGGTACTTGAAGCGATCAAGCTTTTGACTTTTTTTTTTTCTAAAATTATTCCGTTAATTGCCTTTTTATTTTCCTGATTATTGTTTTTAAGGAGAGAAGGTTCGATCATGATAATTGATACTGATTATAGAGAACTTTGCAGTGCTGAAATTATTGAGAAAAAAATGGTAGATGTGCCTAAAACTTAGACATACCGAGTTGGAGTTTGAAGAGCACATCATTTTTCATGTGGAAATATGCAACTTTTCGGCTTTAATTAACGCAATTAATGAAGTCCTTAGTTCAGTTTCTGAAGTATTCTTGCATGTTGGATTTCATTGCAACATAGCTGTGGAACTGAGTCAAATTTGGAGTCATTCTGGGTATGCTTGTTTGTAAGCAAGTAGGGATTAGAATTCTATCCTAGAGATGTCAACTGAAGTTAATAGGATACCAAGTCCAATTGCAGTTGGATGATTGTACCAAATGCAGCATCAAATGTTGCTGGCTTATGGAATTTGTTTGTTTTGTTCAAATAAAACATTATCAACGGAGAACTTATAATAGAAACATCCCTTTGCTGGAGATTTGGGTGTCAAATTAGTTTTGCATGGTGTCATTTGCTTAAATATGATAATGAGGATGTTCTCTTTTGCATAGTGTCATTTGCTAAAAAATTATATTGAGGGTGTTTTCATACTGCCTTATGTTTAAAAATCCACCATTTTACGTGTATTTTGTTGGATGCATATGTTGCCAATTACGAAATCCTTCAATTTGATTCATACAGCTCGCGCAAATTTAGAAAATGAAGCGTATCTTTCCTTTTTAATAAAAAGATTTGTTTTTGACTTTTGGTTGAGTGTCACATACGAGTTTCGGTAGAACATATGCTTCGTAAGTGGGTGGCCGAAATGGGTAACATCTTGAATAGCTAAATTGAGTAGTGAATTTAGTCAAAAGTTGCTATAGATGGACTAAAAAGAAAAGGTCAGTACAAATGATGGCTTAGACCTTACCATATTTTTCAAGAATTCTGTGAAAAAGTAAGTTTTGGACTTTTATGTAATCCAGTGGAGAGGCAAACACATTCAATGATAGTTCATCACTTAGTAGACCTTCAAAGGTGCTGAAATTGGCAACTCTATAAATGTGAAATAGTTCAATTTTTTTGTGGAAGAAAACTAAATGGCATGGATGAGTCAAGTTACAGTAAATGCACAAGCTGCAGTTTTTTTTTTCCCTATTCTATTTCTTTGTAATCATCCCATATTGTTATACTGACAGGCATCATATGATTGCAGTAGAAGCTATTCATGTGTCTGCCAATAGTATCTTTTAAAAGTACATTTGTGTTTCTTTCTAGGCGGTTTTTCCATGTATTTACATGCATATACCATTTTGGTATCTGAAGGTCAGACGTCCATGGTGAAGTTGAGTCAAAATATTGTTTGTTAATCTTCTCTTTGGTTTTCATTGAAGCACTTTTTACACCATAAGGCTAAATTCTTTCTTTTGGTTCTTGGATTTTTTTCCCCTTCTGAATATGCATTCCATCCCCTTTTCTGATTTCATTTTTCCCTACTGCGTCTTCTGTCAAGTTTTTTTTTTTTTGGGGGTTGGTGTCGTCTCTATAAGATGGGCAGACACATATGATAAGTGTATAGAACATGGCATCCTTCATTGTAGTGATATACCTTTTTAGGTGTATTGGAGCCAAATATTGTGATATTTCATGCTATTGATGAAACGCACTCGGATGTACAACTGTATATGTGGCTTGCACACTGATAATGCTGACATTCCTCAACTGTTAGTGTCTGGAGTTCACAACTAGTTTTATTTGACCTGTCTCAACTATTAATGTCTAGTCTTTGGATAAAATAGGGAGCTTTTGGATTGTCCCACCAGCAAGTCCTAGCTCAAGTTACAGCTCAAGCTGCACAAGGTGAGGCCCACATGCAAACGCCAGCAGAGTATCCGTCTTTGTCTTCAGCACCTGCTCCTCCCTCATCACAGCTTCAATCGCTGACGTCGAGTACAACCACACCCCAGCAGATGCTGCCTCCGGTACCCGATCCTAACATCATTAAAGCGTCATCTGATGTTCCACAACCGGATGAAAGATTGCAGCCTTCCATAACAGTTGATAAACCTGCCGATGATGGTTACAACTGGCGAAAATATGGCCAAAAACAGGTGAAGGGCAGTGAGTATCCGCGAAGTTATTACAAATGCACGCATCCAAGTTGTCCTGTCAAGAAGAAGGTTGAAAGGTCTCATGATGGCCAAGTTACTGAGATTATATATAAAGGTCAGCACAACCATCAGCCTCCTCAACATATGAAGCGGGCAAAAGATTCTGGCAATCCCAATGGAACCTTCAATCTTCAGGGGAACTCTGAATTGGGATCCATGGGTAGGAGTGAAAACTTGAATATGAATAGGGAGGGGTTCCCTTCTCATTCATTAGCACTGAAAGACCAGGAATCAAGCCAAGCAACGCCTGAACAAGTGTCCGGATCTAGTGACAGTGAGGAAGTCGGCAATGCGGAAAATGGAGTAGGGACAAGAGATAACGATGAACCAGAATCAAAGCGAAGGTATTCTTAATTTTCTTACAATGCCTTATGCCCATCACTTTCTAAACAGTGCACGAGTTGTTTACTCCCAGGTAGGCTAATTAATACTTCTATACTTTTTGTGCAGGAATATTGAAGTTCAGACATCAGAGCCTGCCTCATCCCACAGGACAGTTACAGAACCAAGGATCATTGTTCAAACAACAAGTGAAGTTGATCTGTTAGATGATGGCTATAGGTGGCGGAAGTATGGCCAGAAAGTTGTTAAAGGGAACCCTTACCCAAGGTAATTTCTTTCTTTAGAATGATCTCTGAGTTGAATTGACATTTGGGGAGACTTGATTACAGGAATCTCTTAGTGAGGTTCCGTAATTTTGGTTGTTTAATCTATTACTATGGCAAAAGGAGTCCTTGATGAATAATTCATTCATAGGGCAATCCAGTCCACTTGCTCATATTTGCGATGCAACAGAGTAATCAACTCTTAAGATGTAACTAGCCGCCTTTGGATGATTTTGTCTGAGAAATCTGTCTCTCTCTCTCCCTCTCCCTCTCTCTCTCTGTCTCTGTCTCTGTCTCTGTATGGGAGTGTATGTGAGTCTCCGTGCTAATTTTGGATATTGGGCGTGAATCAATTGATTATGTTAATTGGCTTGTGGCTACAAATTTTCATTGTTGTCCTTAACAGAGTGTGTAGTATTTTGCTATATTAAGTAGTAAGCACCATTTATCGTGTACATTCCATGGATTATTGGGTCTAACTATGCTATTGCTGTTTGCAGAAGCTATTACAAATGCACCAGCCAAGGGTGCAATGTTCGTAAGCATGTTGAGCGAGCTGCTAGTGATCCAAAAGCTGTCATAACAACTTATGAGGGTAAACATAATCATGATGTTCCAGCAACCAAGAGCAGCAGCCACAGCACTGCCAGTATGGCTTCAGAATTGAAGCCACCTACCACTCTTGTTAATAATCAGTCTCTCACTCGGAGGGCTGAATTCAAGAATAATGGGCAACAGCCAATAGCTAGCTTAAGGTTTAAGGAAGAACAAATAACATAGATTCTGATGAGTGAAGACCAGGTAGAAAAGCAACGGGAAAGCTGGTTGATATGAATATGATACACAAGTCAGAGGAAGGCGAAAGTTAATGCTATTTATGTTTGTTCCTCATGCTTGAGGCATTAACTTCATCCAAGATCGCATACTTTTTAAGTCCAAAATACAGAACGACACAGGAGTTAGTAACATAAGTAGAGAAATCATAGATTTTGTTGGAAATTCCTTTTATATGTAGTCATTGTAAGGTTATTATATCTATGTGCATTCTTTCTGTAAATGCTTGTGTGGCAAGAGTGGATGTTGGTGTAGCACTTGGAAAATGAGGATGGATGTCGGGATCTGAACTTCAGCTTTTGCTTTCATTGACAAAATATAAATCCATGTCTGTTTCTTACTTCTTGATCTATTTCCACTGTTGGGGCTGAAATACTACAGTAAACATCCTTGTTCCCTTTGGTGCTGGTTCAATTGACAAGCTCTCAAGTCATCAACTTTGCAACGTATCACAGCTGTGCATCATGTTAATTGGTGAGGCAATCATTTGCCTATTGAAGTCGGTTCTCTTTCTAATTTGTGCTTATAAATCATCACTGGAGTAAAGATTTAGTTTCTCGAGAGATGTGACAGTATTTTCTTTTGTTGTGCTTCATAGGTTGAACTCTCTCAATCGAATATGATTTGGCTTAGCCACCACAGTATACTTGTCAACAGAGATTGCTGAATTAGTGCGCCGGAGCATCGAAATCAATCCCATCTTTTGACGTAGATTAAAGAAATTAGTACAAAAAATGTGTGGTCTCCAATCCATGGCATAGATCCTAAAACAAATGATTACAGATTTTGCTACATGCGGAAATGTTGTATCCGCATGAGCCCGTGGCTTGTATTCCAACTCAATCATTGCCATGAATTACAATTTCAGGTAATTGGCCGTGATTTTCAAAATCAATTTTATTCAATCTAATGCCACACAGCACTTTCTCCGGCAGCTCTTCAGGTTTTTGTGCCTGCAGCAGCACATAGAAATGTAGGCAAGGAGGAAATGCAGCACATAGAAATGTAGGTAAGGATAACAAATATACCTGGATGGTTAACCCCAGATCAAGAATCCCATATTTCAACCTTTCACGAAATGCATCAAGTCCTTTCCTCGATATGTAGCTGAATCTGTGTACATCGAGGTCAATCTCAAAATAGCTGGCTCCCTGCCGGCGCAAATTTCGCCTCAGTGTCAGGCCAGAAGTAAAAGCAAGATACCTTACTTGGACTCGAGCCGAATAACGGAACAGGTTGAAACAGAGATAAAATTCCCAGTACAAAAGAAGTAAGGGGAATGAGGTCTGAGGAGATATCCACATTGTCCTCATATTAAAAAGCAATAAAGGGACATATTCACAGCTATGAATGCATTCAAGATTAAGTCATCTGGGGAAGTTTTTTCGTGGACGACCAGACCAGCACATTCCTATTGAATTGAACTGCATATATTGGAGCTTTTTGTTGACAGAAAACATAATAAGGCTTTGTCATAAACCCATAACCTCGTTGTTTTTTGGTTTTGGTTTCTCAAGACGGATGTCAGAAGGAATACAAAAGTTATTAGCACCTACAACCAGAACAGAAAATCTGTAACGAGCATGAATACCTTGTAGAAAGCATGTTGAGGACGTGAAAGCACGGGCTTTTCGTTATAAGCATGTAAAAGCTTTTTTTCTGCAGGATTCAGCCTCAGATCTTCAGGATTAACCACACCAACCAAGATTTTTAGTCTTTCTCTAAAAGGAATGATGGATTCTTTTCCAAAACCTTTCACAGTTTCCATATCATCGGCCACGAATCTCTGCATCAGAAAAAAAATGCTGAGCTTTAGTAAGAAAATATCAGACAACAACAAACGAGAGTAATGAAAATTTTAATGTGTCATTGGATTTCAAGAACTTTCTCCTCAGGTTAAGACTTTGCAAATTCATGATCTTCAATGCAGCCAAACAACTAGGTGACAAGCGTAGCCAAAACTAGAATGTGTTTGAGATTAAGTCTCTAAAAACTTTTTTAGCACATTTGATGCAGAGGTGAAAGATGAACCTCATGTACTACTGTGCATCATCTAAGCTGGCAACTTTCTGTGCTTGAACAGAGGGAAACTGCTAACGGAGAGAGAGAGAAGTAGGAGAGGTGGAGGAAGTAGGGGTGTGCAAAATCGAAAAATTTCGATTTATCGACCAAAATCGGTAATTCGAAATTCGGCACCGAAATCGAAATTTTTTATTTCGAATTATGCGAATTTGGTTCGAATTCGGTAATAGAGTTTTTTAAATCGGAAATCGAAATCGGAATTTCCGATATCAATTTCGTTTTATAATATATATATATATTAATATTTATTTATTTATATATATAATAATATTTTTTATTTCAGTTTCGTTTTATAATATGTATATTAATGTATAATAATATTTTTTATAATATATTTATATAAAATAATAATTTTTATAATATACGCAATATAAAATTTATATTATATAACAATACATCTAACAAAAAAGGGAAAAAAAAAAGCGAAAAAAAGATTTCCGAAAATTTGGAATTTACCGAATTCCGAATTGAATTCGGAATCGAAATCGAAATCGGAACTGGTGAATTCGAAATTGAAATCGGTCGGTAATTTCTATGCCAAAATTCCAAAAAATTTCGAATTCAAACTTCCGAATTACCAAATTCAAATTAGATGCACACCCTAGGAGGAAGTGAAACTACTGGACTTGAAGTGCCCTGGCTTTTCCTATGCCTTTACATACTTGAGAAACACAGATAGCCTTGTGGGATAACACAATTGCTCAAAAACAGATACCTACTTGTCTGCCTGAATCGTTACTTATATGCAATGTTTGCCCGGGATGATAAACAGACTTTCTTATGCTGGTATGAATTTTGGGTACTCTATGTTTCCACTGAATCAAGTTAGACTTTATACAATCTTTTAGTTTTCTGTGTTTACTAAATTAGGAGAATCATCCCATTTCTATGTTTACTAAACTAGGAGAATCATTCCCATTCCTGCAGTTGGCTATGTTGCGTCGTTATCCACTTGTATTCTGCAATTACTACTTCCTGTGCTTGTTTGCCGGAGTTTCTCTAACAATTCAAGGAGGCAGTATTTTTGACATAATCATCCCCCAATAAACAAAAAAGAAAGAATGGTGCAGCTTGTGCTAAGGAGATGGTGAGCTCCTGAAGTGATTTAGGCATACCTTAATCGATTCTCGGAACTCCACAGAAGTCTCTTTTTCAAAATTTTCTGATATTCTGAAATACAATACAAGGCTCAGTCCGTCCCCATCACTTTCACCAAGGAACATGGAAGCAGGATATGCTGGCAGCTGGCAAACCACAAGAAAGAAAAAACTTGAATGACATGCCAAATTCTAAGGAAATTTCAGAAAAAACAGTTAAAAGTTGACTACAGTCCTCCAAAAGGTTCCAAAGTTTTTGATATATTTACAGTGTGGAATCAGTTACCAAAAAGACTAATTGAAATCATATACTTCTATGAGTGAACAGAGGAATCAAACAACATCTATATTGACGTAATAGATACTGCAATATATAGGAGGTACTCGTTGAACTGCAAAAGAATAAACTAATTTCTGCAAATCCCACAAACAGTGAGGATAAAAGGAAAAAGCAGACACCTGAACATTTACAATAAGCAATGATGGCACTTCATGGTGAGCTTTTACAGGGGGAAGTTCAAGGTATTGAGCAATATGGTGTACTTTCCGAGGGCAGGCAAATAAGTCCACACCAAAAGGAACATAAGGGCTGTAATTAGGAGCAGGGTGCTTCTTTTTATCTCTGCAGAGAAAGATCATAAATTCTAGTAAGCAATCAATACAGACCAGACTCAGCTCATGTAAATGGTTTATAGAATGAAGCAAAACCTCAAAAACATGCCTGAAATAGTTCTCTCCCCTAAGCTTAAAGACTGAAGGTGAAAGAGGATGCCAGCATCCATGAGCTAGATTCTCGCCCATTGAACGTGGAATGGTAAGTCCTGCTTTGCGATGATACAAATATCTCTTAGATGGACCTGTCGGTGTACTGATATTTCAGTAAGAAGACGGTATAAAATAAAAATTACAACATCATATTCTTCCACCAGTATAATAGAATGTGCTTAAAGATGAGGACATATTAATCCTTGGTACTAACCATGTAGCTATAATGGCAATGCACATTGTTACATTTACCATCTATCAGTTATCAGCAAGCTCCAATAATGTGCTACTATCAATATATACACATTTATGTTTTTGTGGATATCTGTATGCATTCTGCACAAACTCTTGTATGTATATGCCTACGAGCGCATGAAGTATACTCAGAGGGTGACTCTTTTATCTCAACAGACAATTAGTAACTGGCAAGATTGTAATAGGGTGCATTAAGCAAAACGTGGGAAAGTTGTTCATAACTCGACTACTAGTTTAGGCAAATGCATCATAAACTTTTTGCAAAATATGCAGTAAAAGTGCAGCCATCAGTTTAAAAAAGCTAACCATATGTGATCTCTGTATAACAGTACTACAATCATCACTTACAATATTCATTCGTCTCATCTTCATCCTGCTGTGTCCTTTTAATGGCGACTTTTGTGGCTGTTGACCTTCTTCTTTTTGAAGTTGATAATGAATTTAACGAACAATGGTCAAGCAACTGAGGCAAATGGGACTTTGGATGATTCTCCACATTTTTCTCCTCGTATTGCCAGGGATCTGCTTTGGCACCCTTGAATCTCCAAGATGGAGCATTTGGGATTTTCTTCTTCTCAGTAGATATTCCATCCGCAATGGTCAAGCTTGGAAAGTCATAGCATCCTTTTGAATGGGAGATTCCATTTTCGTCCTCATTTTCAACCTTGCTAGAAAACTTTTCAGTTTTACCACAATCTATAGTCTGGAAATTTTTGTCACTTCTGTGCTCACTGCCAAACCAAGAATTGTTTTCATGCTGTGCCATTTGATTCATGTGTATGTCTTCAGTCGCATTGCTCAATGAAGGGAAAAAATCTGATAGAAAAAAATTTGGACAGGATAAGCAACTTGAGTTCACTACTAGTGAAGGTGCAGATGAACAGAAAAAAATTGATCACCTCCATGAACGCTACTGAAGTCTTCATCTGAATCCGAATCAAGGGCACTAACAGAGTCGAACCAAGCCTCCTCTTGGAACACTCCTGATAATTAAAGACCGCAACACCTTTATCAGAAGCTTGAAATAGACTTGTTGGATTACTGAGTCGTAGCATTATGATAGCTCATAACAACTAATGACAAATAATAGGCATCGCAGTAAGTTGAGATGTGAATTATAAGAGATTGTGTGACATACGTTGAAATACTATTAACAATTAATATGTTGGAAAGGATAGTAGAGAAACTAGAAAATGAGAGATAAACAGAGGAAATCATGCACATGTCAGTACGTACATGAACTTTTGTGCTATCAAAACTTCTTTGTGCGTTTAGGGGGTCTACTGTGATAAAATACAGCCTCAAGGGGTCATGCAACATTGCCTAGTACTTGAGTGTCTAGTCATCAGGGAATTTAGTGGCTTCACAAAACCTCAAGTGAGAGAAACATTTTCACGTACTATTTGAGGACCAAAATTGTTTCAGTGAGCTGAGAGAACATCCTATTCATCAAGCTGATTTGTTCACTTTCGACTCTCATTCTTGAAGAGAGAATAATTTACCATTTTTAATTACTTGATTGTGGTCCCATTGTGGCTGGGTGCTATGTAGCGTCAGATTAGGTAACTCGGACCGTCTGCAGCTGGTGCTTGCATGTGTCTCATTGTTCCCTGAAACAGATCCTGGCAGAGAAGGATTTCTGCCAAATTCTGCACCCGTGAACTGTTCTATAGGAGCAACAGAAACAGAAGAGGCAATCTTTCTCCGGAATTTCCTAGGCTTGCGGAAGTACTTAGCACTTGATTTAAATCTTTTTTTGGGCATTGAGATGCATCCTCCCATGGTGCCAATTGATTCAAGAGAGATGGTAAGAAAAAATGCTTTCTCATAGCATATGCCAGTTGGACAAAGTGATCTCTGCAACGAGCCTCATAGAAAATCCGAGGAAGGAGAATGACACAAATTCCTGCAACTACAAGAGAAGTGTTGGGATGTAAATTCAAGCACTACCGAGTGTATCTTTCTGAATCAAATACTAAGTTCAACATGAATTGGTACATAAAGCAGTAAAAATGAGATCTTAGGTTGATAAAAGTAGCTGTGAGTTCTACTTCCTGCTAAAGTGGTTTAACACATCCTTCAGTTTGGTTACAGTCTCTGCGAATCACAACTAATTATCAACTTTCCTATCCCAGAACCAACATTTCCAAAATTGAACATCTATGTTTCCCATTGGTGTAAACTGCGCTACTTATCATTCACTACTCAATGAAGGACGAGATTTCAAACTTCTTTGCAGTAAGACTTTTGGGTGGTGCGATTGCCAGGGATGTGAACACAACAGCAAAAACTATGAGCCATGACAATGCTTTTAATAAATAATTCACCGACTTAATCGTAAATAGTGCTCTGCACTCAATAAGCTATTAACACATCCAGTGGGAGAGGGGCAATGAATTTGGATTTGAGTTCTCGGTTACATATGCTTGAAACCTGGAACTATAAATTCCAGGATAAATATTGATATTACCTTAATTAGAGAGAGAGAGAGAGAGAGAAGCTGCCATCATATGTATTGTTCGGCTGCCCACATTAAGAAGAGATGCAGAAGAGAGACGTGCCAACGAATCCTCTTAAGATGGCTTAGATGAAACTGCACAGAATTCTTGAAACCTGCATATGATCTGAAAGGACTCAAGACCTCAGCAACTGAAAAGAAGCTACACTAAAGTCAGCATAAAAATTTGGTTATAATCAAAGAACTTGTGTGAAAGCAAATTGCAGGAGGAGCAACCTGCAGATTATTTCATACCTTGCTACCCCATTTTGACCAAAGACGCAAAACTACCACTCGGCAGAGACCAGACAAGTGAAAAAGTGCAGAATATTATTTGCACAAGAAAATATTACCCTGTATATCACTGACAACATGCAAACTTTGATCCACTCCACAAAAAACTGAAGGAAGAAATATCTGGAATGAAAAAATTCTTAGAAAAGAGTTGAGAGCCTTCCCAGGAAGAGTACGATAAAGTCAAGATGACGATCAGAAATTGGTCGAAAGTCATTCTGATAAGCTTAGCTATTAAGTATTATACAAATGAGCAGCGATGAGTCCTAATCAAAGACTCAAAGCCAAAAGAATGAGGTAAAAATACTTCACCACCAGACGACAGCGTGTAAAAATGATAAAGAGTCAATCTTTGAAAGATTCCACCTCTTAATTGAGGATACAAATAAGTTTATGCATGTGACAGCTTACTGAAATGCCAAGAAACTGAGCCCAAGCAAAGTTTTCCTTTCCCCATTTCTTAAGGACAGCAGAGAGAAAAGACTCCCAGCAACTAAGCAGAACAGAACTCAACAATATGGAATTAAAATTTGTTATAATCACTTCAAAAGCTCAGATTTCCACTTCATAAACAAAAGCAATAAAGTGCAACATAAGAGGCACTAAAACTCTTTAGCAAAGTTCTGTCAAACACAAGAGGAGACCAACCCCAAAAGCACATTGAATCCAATTATGGCACTTGCCTTCTGCAGCATTAAATGTATGGAAGACCATACATTTATCACCGAAAGCACCCAAAAAGAGAAAAAAAAAACTGAAAACGAAAAGAAATCTTCAGGGACTAGTTACCTGTGAATTTATTAGGGGCCTGAGAGGGAGAAATGAAGGGATGACTTCCAACTCTCAAGTCTCAGTTTCTTGATTACAATCTGCAAAAACTGCAATTTATGAATTGGTGCACCGGTGAAGTAGCAGCAGCACTAGCACTACACTATTATCAATCATGGCCCACGTTGGTTGAATTGGAACTAAACTCCAATCAAAGCGAGTGGAAATGACTTTTAATTAAATTATTATACTACTAGTACGTCAAGAAGCCTTTGACGCTGTCTGCTGCACTGCATGTATCGGTAACAATATGAAAAAAAAAAAAATCAAAAGACCCTCGTGGCGTCCTTTACGCCCGGGCATTTTGCTGGCAGCATTGACGTTATTATTAATGTGACAGTAGCCGCTGGTTAGGAACTATGAATTGTGAGTTTTTCTCATCATTTAGGGGAATGCCGGCTTGGTCTACGTTGCACGTATTGCATATTTAATGCAGAAGAAAGGAAATAGACAGCGACCCGGCCAACGACATGGCAAGAAACTTAATACGGCAAACAGAGAAACGCACACCATTTTCCAGCTTACAACTAATCCATTATTGACAGACAACCGTGAAACAGATCAAGCAGGATTAGGATTTTTTTTTGTCTTCTTTCTTTCTTTCTTTGTATTTGTTTATTCCTACTACCGTATAATCCTACCGTTATTTGGATTTTGGAGTGCTGCTTTCGTTATTAATAGTAATTGAGCGTCTTGCATATATCATATCACACTATTCTTGACTCGTTAATAAAGTGAAATTATATCAAAATGCCGTGGAATGGTTCTATATGTTATTTTAATAGCCAATTTTGATGGTACTAGCACATTATTTACTAGTATTGAATTAGAAATGCTAACGAAAAGAAGAAAAGGGGTTGCCACTTCAGGGCTTGAATGACAGACATGGGTGTTCGTTTCTGGTTTCTGTCCCTTCTGTCTTAGGATAAGGTGATTCCACTTTGCTGATTGAGTTTGAAGGTCACTCATGTTGGCCAAATAAAACAAGAAAAGGGAAAGAACAATCCCATCCCGCATCACTTTTTCGCTCATTCATTAATTAAAAGACATCCTATTCCTCTGAATATTCATCATTGAGATGGCAAAAAGGGTTGGACTACTTTGATGATTGGACTACTTTGATGAATGGATGTCCTGTACAGTTCTGATGATGTGTTGGATGCCTGATTAATGAGCGTTTGTGTATGCTGATCAAGTTATGCAATTAAGATATGATAAATTGCTTCACCTAATTATAGATTCTTGCACCGTGAATAAAAATTCAACCTGACATCTTTTTAACCCTTTATTTTTGTGATTGTGATATGAAGAGTTCAACCAACTCCATTCAATTAAAATCGTGTGTCACGCAAAATTATGATGTGCATCGCACTCTCTCCGTCTCTGTTCCTATTTCTTCCACTTTCATGGAACCATGATCCTTGTCTCCCTCTTGTACTTGCTTTTCCTTCTCAATCCGGACATCGTAATGATTTGTGAAATAGGCCAGAGACCAGAAAGCAAGTGAAGATTCTTAATTAGGTAAAAGAAACGTAGTAGAAGGAAGCAAATTTATCCTTATTTAGCTGGCATAATCCGGTACTCAACAAGATAATGCTAATCCACTTGCTTCTATGGCAGGAGGGGTCCAGAACCAATTAAGATGTGACGTCCTCTCAACTCAAGTTTGTTAACCTGGCCATCGTATAATCCTCCCCTTGTATAATGACGTTGATTGGAGACTTCAAGAAGCATCTCCTCCCATGAAAGCTACGCTTTCAGGAAAATATAATTTAGGGTTCTGTTAGCCAGAAAATTCTTAATCTAGGATTAAGTAATACTAGTATCTGGCTAAGCAAAATTGGAGTCTTGAATCAGTTTCTTGCATCCAGAAGCAAAAGATTGCCAGCTTGCTTCCCTTGATGAACTGAATGTTCAAAAACTAACCCAAATGCCATTTTAAGAAACTAGATAATATATATATATATATATATATATATATACATCAGCAGCAGATTTCACTCTGAAGCATTAACAGCAGCAGATTTCAAATTTTGCATAGTTATCATTCATCCAACGTTGACAATGTATACACTGTCAGTGTAGGAAAGATTAATCCTAAATAAATCATGAGTAAAGAATGGAATTCCACCAACATCTAAGTATAGGCTTCCATGTTTTATTCATAAGCAACATTATTATTATTATTATTGTTTTATTACCAACTTTATCCTATGTCATATGTGAGATTAGCAGTTCTTGCCCACCAACGAAGAACAATGATTGGAAGGGTTGGCTTTGTGATAAGCATTGTATAATTGTTTATTGGAACTGGCCTAGTCCGTGTTGTAGTGGTTGCGCCGGAGGCGGACCTAGGTTTAGGTCAAGGATCACATTATTATGATCTTCTCCATATACCTACCAATTGAAGAAAAAAATTGTTGGCTTTAAACTAGCCTTCGTTCAAGTGAGTTGAAAAATGCATAAGAACTTGCATAAAGAACGCTGCAGGTATATCAACAAGTTTCATACCTAAAACTTGTAAGGTAGCATTATTATTATTCAAACAACGACCATTGAATGTTTTCTTTTTAATTTTTTTTGAGTAAATCTTATATACACTGACAATACACTATCATCAAAAATTGAATTTCATTGTCGCTCATCCAAATTCAAATTCAAGTGTCAATTTCAACTTTTGCATAGTTGTCACTCGGAAAGATTAATCCTTCTCTTTTAGTCTAAATTTGGGTGTTCAGTTTACAGTTTACACTTGGTTGTTTGAATTTAAAAGCACGATTGGACAGTAGTTTGAACTTTAAGTAACTGAGAGAATTTTTTATTTTTTTTGGTCAATGTGGTATGAACCAAAAACATCATTAAGTCTTAGCTCTGTACCAAATTTTTGAAAAAGGAAATGCTTTAGTCGTTGAAGCAGAGCCTACTTGAAGTTGAAACTTGAAACCAAACATCATTTTGTTTCCTGTTCATCGGTTAAAATTGCAATGTTCAATCTTCATACCACTGTTACTATTTATTTTTGCCTAATTATCCAGAAGAAATTGCTATGGCCTAAATGCATCTTGTAAGAGAAGAAATCCTGTTTCATAAACAAAGGCAGTAAAGTACAGATTTAAGAATTAATATATGTTTTCCCCTAACCACCTTAATTTCATGGTTTTCATCTCATCTACCACCACATTTGATAATCTCATAGAAGTACTTAATGAGTACCTTTTTTTTATTCCCACTTTCTGGGTCTTGTTCGTTATACCAAATAAGGTTTAATATGTTTGTAGTCTTGTAGTATTTTGCTACAAGAACTTTGAGGTAATTAAGAAAATATTTGAAGATCACCGTTAGGCCTTTGGCCTGATGGTCACCGCAACTCTTGCCTCCCATCAATTTGCCACTATATGTGGCAGTCTTAATTGGTTTTCTTCGATGGAGTCTGTACTCACATCGAGTCCCCCTCCCCTAGATTAGCCTAAATTAGGTTATAGAAATCCTATTGTTACGACAAAAAAAAAAAAGAGAGGAAACATTTGAAGATCAAACTACAATTATGCGGCTGGAGCACGAAAAGCAGTTTCTCCATTAGTGGAACAAAAAAATTGCAGGGACATGCGAAAACTAGGACAAATGCTTGAGGCTAAAGATCCTAGTAAATCCAATGGTACTTCCAATGGGCAATGATTTTAATGGAGCTCATTTAGCAAAAGCTGCAAGAATCACACGCCCCATTAAGGCATATTATGGATTTTATTGAAGTAAAGGGATTAAATCCCGAATACAACAAATCAGCTAGATGGATCCTTCTTCTTTTTTTCCTTGTAAATCTAGTTACACCAACCAGGGAACTGTAGATTTGTGGTCATGCAGGCTGCTGCTAGCTGATGATGCTATCCCACCTGAAACGTTCCCTCAGTTCATAATTTGGCCCCGCAGCTTACCAAACACAAAAATGTTTCGGTATTTGCCTGCGTTTCTTGAGTTTTTCAGGTACAAGAAGTTGGGAGCCATTTTATTCTGAAAAACACTACACCGGATTAGCGGCTATTTGCCTACCGCATTACACTCTGTAATGCGTAATGTGCAGGAGACCGACAAGGGCCAGTTTGGATCTTGATTGATAAAGGCAAACAAAAAAAGCATAGAATGAAGTGAGAAACATTATTATATTTAGAACTTTTAGGAGTAATATCATTGTAAAGATCATTAATGTCTAAATTAAGCACAAGTAATCATTTATTTGACTTCTCGTAAATTTTTTTTTTTTTTTTCTCAAATAAACTAGTAGTAAAATGTTGTGAAATTTAAGAGCTTTGACCTCCCAAGGAGCCCAAGCCGTAATACAAGGCTTGATGGCCGGTTGTTCAAGGCCTGCACTAACACCAAGGTCAAAGTAAACCACAGCAAGCCCGATGAGAAGCATTGGATTACCACGTGCTTCATTTAAAGCTACAAAAATTTGTATGTTGAGAGAGTAATTTCCCCCCCCCCCCCTTTTTTTTTGGCATAGATGGCAGCTCGTAGGGCACCCTCTAAAATCTTTCTTATTAAAGCCTTGCTTGTTTAGGCAAGTCTCTAATCAAACCTTATCGAGTTACTTTACAGGTTTCATTCTTATTACTAAACTCATTTTTTTTTGTGTTCTAATTAACCATTCGATACTTCCTGTTCGCTATTTAAATTAGTTAAATTGTTCGTGAAACTAAGATATACGCATCTTCGTCTAGATAGTTCAAATACCTGAAAACTAAATTTTGTTAAATTAGGAAAATTTGATACGTCTAAGATAGAAAACATAGGTTAAAGCCATGGTTCATTAATCCTATTACATGGAACTTAGGGACAAAAAAAAAAACTATTAAGCTTCGGATTGAGAATCAAGAACCAAACATCGGGTTTTCTAAATCATT